ACTGCTACTACTACTACTACTACTACTACTACTACTACTACTACTACTACTACTACTGCTGCTGCTGCTGCTGCTGCTGCTGCTGCTGCTGCTGCTGCTGCTGCTGCTGCTGCTACAGGAATAGACTAAAATGTGATAGATTAAATATAGGTCAACAAATAATATTATGGTTAGCTGGGCTAAGAGGGGCCGTTGCCTTCGCCTTAGCTATGAGTATACCTTGTAATGCAGATCCATGGAGAAAATATTGTAGAGAAAATAAAGTACGAATATACACACGATCCCAACGATCCCAACGATCCCAACGATCCCTATTACACGATCCCAACGATCCCAACGATCCCTATTACACGATCCCAACGATCCTAACGATCCCCACAACCCACACTTGTTACTGCTGCTGCTGCATCATCTTCTCCATCCTTTTGCTGCTGCTGCTGCTGCTGCTGCTGCTGCTGTTGCTGCTGTACAGGACTTGGTGGTAGCAACAACACTGTTGTTGGTGGTGATAACAACTGTGGGGTTGGGTAGTTCCTTAGAGATGGCTGTCTTATCATTAAATAAAGTATACAGCAGCAGCAGCAGCAGCACAGCAGCAGCAGCAGCAAGATGTCTATCTTATAATCAAGGAGACAATCAAGAGACACTTTCTGCTGCATTCCTTGGACCAGATTCAACACCTACACCAGCAGCAGAAACTGCAGCAGCAGCAGCAGCAGCAGCAGCAGCAAGAACTGATACACCAACAGATACCGCACTAGCAGACACACGACCCCCTCCTACAGGTGTGCAGCAGCAGCAGCAGCAGCAGCAGCAGCAGCAGCAGCAGCAGCAGCAGCAGCAGCAAATGTAACAGTTGCTGCTACCAAATCTATCTCTCCTGCTGATGCTGTTGCTGTTGCTGCTGCTGTTGCTGCTATTCGTGCCGCTGCTGCTGTTTCTATATGTCACTTATTGGGAGCCGTGCTGCTGCTGCTGCTGTTGCTGCTGCTGCTGCTGCTGCTGCTGCAGAGGCGAGGTCTACTTGGGGAGAGCTGCTGCTGCGTCTTGATCGTCTTCAAGACGGTAAGGCAATTGGGATCCGATCCCAAAGGAGACACATTAATAAAGGAGACACCTAGATAAAGGAGACACATAAAAAGGAGACACATAAATAAAGGAGACACATAAATAAAAGGGAGACATAAAAAGGAGACACATAAATAAAGGGGAGACATAAAAAGAAGACACATAAATAAAGGAGACACATAAATAAAGGAGACACATAAAAAGGAGACACATAAATAAGGGACAAATAAGGGACACATAAAAAGGAGACACACAAATAAGGGAGACACATAAATAAAGGGGAGACAAAAAAGGAGACACATAAATAAAGGAGACACATAAATAGAGGAGACACTTAGGAGGAGAGACAGATGATAAATAAAGGAGACACATAAATAAAAGGGAGACATAAAAAGGAGACACATAAATTAAGGGGAGACATAAAAAGAAGACACATAAATAAAGGAGACACATAAATAAAGGAGACACATAAAAAGGAGACACATAAATAAGGGACAAATAAGGGACACATAAAAAGGAGACACACAAATAAGGGAGACACATAAATAAAGGGGAGACAAAAAAGGAGACACATAAATAAAGGAGACACATAAATAGAGGAGACACTTAGGAGGAGAGACAGATATAAGGAGACAAATATGGAGACAAATAAGGAGACAGATAGGGAGACAGAAGGAGACAGAAAAAAAGAGATAGAGAGATAGAGACAGATAAAGGAGACATAAGGAGACAGGGAAGGAAAAAGGAGACACTTTGTTCTTTATATATATATGTGTTGTCTCCTCAGCATTAATAGGAGACAGTTTACCTTCAGGTGTATCTACAGCAGACGATAATCATTTTCTTCATTGGTACTCTCTTGCAGAAAAATTATATTTTAAGGTATTTATTTATTTATTTATTTATTTATTTATTTATTTATTTATTTATTTTATTTATTTTATTTATTTTATTTATTTTATTTATTTATTTTATTTATTTTATTTATTTATTTTATTATTTATTGTATTTATGTATTTTATTTATTTTATTTACTTATTTTATTTATTTACTTATTTATTTTATTTATTTTATTTATTTATTTATTTATTTATTTATTTATTTATTTATTTATTTATTTATTCATTAAATAAATAAAAAAGGATACACGTTACCTAACATCCCTTATAAGGTGTCTCCTTTTGTGCCTCCTTTTCTGTCTCCATATATTACAATATAATAATAAATAAATAAATAAATAAATAAATAAATAAATAAATAAATAATATAATATAATTAGATGTCTCCTTTTTATGTGTATACAGCGTTGGTTTGGAGGAGACGAGGAAGAAGGAGAAGAAGAAGAAGGAGACACTTCCTTACAAGGGAATTATGTGTCTCCTTATACAAGAGGAGACACTTCTTCCTCCTCCTCCTCCTCCTCCTCCTCCTCCTCTTCCTCTTCTTCCTCTATACAAGGGAATTATTTGTCTCCTTTAATTAGACAAGGAGACACTTTATCCTCTATACAACATATTGTAGGCCCCTCTTATCTATAACTGTCTCCTTTTTTGTCTCCTTTTCTGTCTCCTTTTCTGTCTCCTTTCTTTTGTGTCTCTTTTCTTGTTGTTTTTTGTCTCCTTTTATTCCTTTGGCTGTCTTTGTGTCTCCTTTTCCTTCTTTCTTCTTCTTTTCTCTTCCTTCTTATCCTTTTGCAGTGCTATAAACCCTAAACCCTAAACCCTAAACCCTCGTAAACCCTAAAAGGGGAGACAGAGGCAAGAAGAAAGAGAGGCCGATAGGAAATTGCCTCTCTTTCGCTGCTGCTGCAGCGGCTGCAGCAGCAGCAGCAGCAGCAGCAGCAGCAGCAGCAGCAGCTGCCCAGTAACACAAGCGGCAGCTATTGCTTAACTAATTGTTTTTTATAACATTTATTTATTTATTTATTTATTTATTTATTTATTATTTATTTATTTATTTATTTATTTATTATTGATTTATTATTTATTTATTTATTATATATAGATAATAGATCCTCTTAGGGTGTATAGGCATCTCTTTATATATTGTCTATAGAGGCAGTAGCTGCCTATACACCCCAAAACCCTCGCTAAACCCTAATAACTAATTGTCTCCTTTTGTGTCTCCTTTTTTCCCCTTATATATACAAACCCTAAACCCTAGGTAGAGGGGACACATAAGGGGTAATTAAATAATATATAAACCCTAATTAATTAAATAAACCCTAATTAATTATATTTTTATTTATTTATTTATTAAGAATAATTAATAAATACTTTTTTGCATGCATATTCTTATTAAAGCCCCAATTTGTGCATGCAGCAGCAAATTAATTAATTAATTAATTAAATGCATGCAAAATGTTAATTTTATTTATTTTATTTATTTTCCTTCCTTTTTCTTCTCTATAAGAAGGGAAGTAAGGGGGCCCCACATCTATACATCTGTACCCTGTATCTACTGACGGGGCCCCCCCTCATTAGCAACAGCAGCAGCAGCATCTGCAGCAGCAGCAGCAGCAAAAGCAGCAGAAAATAATTCCTTGTTGCATGCAATACTATAGATAAAAGTATAAGCAGCAACAAGTTTTCCTTCTTTCTCCTCTTGTATGCATGCATGCATGCATGCATGCACGCATGCAGTTACTAATTAATTATTTATTATTATATCCTATTTATATATCTCAGGTGTATCCTCAGCTTTTTTTCTAACTATGAGCACCCCGCAGCAGAAGCAACAGCAGCAGCAGCAGGTGCTGCTGCTGCTGCTGCACGCACGTACGACAGCGGGCACCGAGCAGCAGCAGCAGCAGCAGCAGCAGGAAGAGCAGCAGGAATAAGATATAAAGTGTGCCTGTTGATGGTTTTTTATTTAATTAATTAAATAAAAAATAAAAGTAAATAAAAAAATAAAGAAAAGAGGAACAGGAAGAGAAGAAAGGAGCAGAAAAACAAAACAATTAAGAAAAAAGAAGAAAGAAGGTTGTTGGGGTGTATAGGCAGCTATTTTTTTTTTTTTTTTTTTTTTTTT